CCCTTGTGATATCGCCTTTTTGGCGAACGGCTGGAAGACTTCCAGCTTTTGTTTTCCGTTCCGCATAGACAATCGCTCAATGAGCCCTTATGAAAATAATTTGAGTTTAATTAATTAGACACCTACTTGCATTGTGTGGAAAAGGCGTATTTTACGATTGTCTTCAAGCTGCACTTGACATTATTTTCGTTGCTAACACAGGTTTATGCGATTATTTCTGAATGCAGCCTTTCAGTCGTTCGTACAGCATAAGCGAATTCGAATTGCCCTTTTTCCATTTTGTGTGTGACAAATAAAGTCTTTTTATCAAAATTTTTCTGCCTCTTGCACAAACTGCTCATCAGACCTAGTTGTTGAGGTTGTTTATTGTTGTTTAATTACTTTCCTTTTATCTCCTTCTATTCTCCTCTCCTTGTTTCGTTTCTTTTTTCACCTTCTTTCTTCGTGGCACTCAAGTAGATGCCAAACGTACATTGTAGCTTCCTTCATTACTTCCGGCGTTGTTGCAGTATTGTCTTGACTACATGCTGGTTTCAAATCGTCGCACGGACCAGTTTTTAGACTATATGAGCACCGGGTTCCTGCATGCCTTTTATGTGAGAACGGCTATCCATACTGGTGGGTTGAGGTTGAATTTAGTTTCAGAAAACCTTCTATTGGCCCTTTTCATGCCTACCTGACAAGCATAGAGGAAGTGCTTTGAACAATGGCAACTGGGTTTGGCGTTTATTAGTAGTCGAGCGGTTCCCAGTGACAAATCACCTGGACACTAAACAACCGTCTATCTTCCAAGGGCAAGACATTTATTGCCTTAAAATAGCATTTTCCATGCAGGCAATTTCGTTGTCCGCACACGACGTAGAGACGGAACTGACGATCGTTAAGACCTATTGTTGTTCGCTAATACAGGGGCAGTGATCCTCCTTTGCCTAAACACAACGCCCTTCTTACTTTTCATCCAGAATGACAATGAAGGGATGGGATTGTGTGAAGTGAACTATCTTTGCTCGCTGCGCTTTCACTGCTCCTAAGTAGGACTTCTCGGTGGTGTAACGTGCCTCTACAGCTTGCTAGCACATTCAAACTAACCGCTTCAACCAATTTTAAAAAGCTATTCCAAATCACGTTTTTAGAGTTCAA